ATCCCGCATCCCATTTTTGGTACCCGCCCAAATTTTTAGAGCTTTGTGCGACGAATTGTTGGTTGCGCAAACTTTTGAGAGAGGAAAAATTGGTTCGTAGCACGATATTTATAAAAATAATTGTTATGAATAATAATAATTTTTTTTTTACGTTTTAAAATATACATAAGGTTAAAGCTACTTAATAAATGTATATACCAATTAACGGTTATTTTAACTCCGATTTTGATGATTTTTTTATAGCTACACTCTTTGACCCTATATGAATACAATGAACTAATTCGATCGTCAATTTAAAAAATATATTTTCTAATAAAAACTCAATCCAAACAACAATAATATACGCCAAAAATCGGAAAAAATAAACATTCAGAGATCAAGTAATGTGACAAAACTTTTCGACGGTTATAAATGAAAAATCACGATTTAACGGTTATTTTAACTCCGATTTTGATGATTTTTTTATAGCTACACTCTTTGACCCTATATGAATACAATGAACTAATTCGATCGTCAATTTAAAAAATATATTTTCTAATAAAAACCCAATCCAAACAACAATAATATATTTTTCTAACAAAGATTTTAAAAAATAATTTATTTATTTTATTTATTTTTATAAGGACTTTGCGCGACGAAGTTAATTGTTTCGTCGCGCAAAGTTACTTTGAGCGACGAATTATTTTTCGTTGCGCAAAATTTGGTCGCGCAAGACTTTGAGCGACGACGTATTGTCGTCGCGCAAAAGTTGGTCGCGCAAAGTCACTTTGAGCGACGAATTATTTTTCATCGCGCAAGGTTTTTCGCGACGAAGTTTTGAGTTTCGTCGCGCAAAGTGTGTTTGCGCGACGAATAATTTTTCGTCGCGCAAAATTTGGTCGCGCAAGGGTTATTTTGTAGTAGTGAATAGAGGTGGAGCCCATCGATACAATGGGGTCCATCTCTATTAGAGAAGTGATACACAATGTGGTATAAAAATGCGATAAGTCTAGCATTTTCCTTTAAGTTAGTATGGTTGAAGCACATTGTTGACATATTTCTCTATATTTTAGCTAATCAGCTCCTTTTAACTATTCCTTCGGAGATGCTCTAATTAAGTAGTTGTTCTATGTAATAAGAAAAAGAAAATTTAGATTAGATTAATCATGAAAATAGATTCAAATGTTAGGGACGATATTAAAACGAATAAACTTTTGGCAAAAAAAAAAAAAAAAAAGAAGAAGAAACAAAATTCACAAACTCAAAAGCTCTAACTACAACACATTGAATCACAAATTGAAACAAAGTGCATGCATGTGTGTAAGAATTTTATTTTTTTTTTCCTTGTTTGCAGCCAAGAATTTCTTTTATTTTTTATATTTTCAATAGAGTGGTAGAAAAGGTGTGCTTATAGAATAATACTTTTTTAGGAAAAAAAAAAAAAAGATAAGGCTAGGTCTTTGTAGAATAAGAAATATTAAAATGGACATAAAACAAATGCATGAAGAAGTAAATAGAATATTAGGATAATTGTTAGTTCACATCTAATAACTTACCCGTTCAGAAATAGGAGTCACAGCCCCAAACATTTTATACAAAATCAATGGAAGCTGGAACGAGTCCACTACCAATGGAGAGTGTATGAAATCATATATTATTGAATTAATGGACTTAGTAATCTCGTAATTAGTCTATGCATAAGATGATTATTGAATTTGTTTTGAATTAATCTTCTATGAGATCATCTTATTGAATGGAGGATACACTAATTTAATATAGGAGTTAGTTATAATGATGGAAGCGTAGGAAGCTAATAACAGTGTTTTATCCCCTCTATATATGAACATTTAACCTCTTCAACTTGTTGCGTGCAAATTAATCAGAAGCAGCTATCTCAACTAGTACATATCCATGGCAGCAGCTAATTCTCATCAACCTGTCTTGGTTTTGTTCACTACTTTTGTTGTTGCAGCTGCTATTGTGTTGGCCCCAACTACGTGCACTGCTCAACTCACTTGTGATTTCTATCAGCAGTCCTGCCCTCAGGCATTGCAAACCATCAGATCAGTTGTCAACGAAGCTATTAATCGGGAGAGGCGCATGGGAGCATCGCTCCTACGCTTGCACTTTCATGACTGCTTTGTCAATGTAGGTTTCATTTTTTGGCTTTGTTCAACATTTTATTTTATTTTTGTTTTTTGTTATTTCTTGTGTACAGACAAAATCATACTTTTCCGTGAGGTAGCACAATATTGTTGTTGATTATGTTGACAGACTGTGAATATGAACCGTTAATCATATGAATACTTATTTGCATGAGTGTTACAAAACCAAACCAAAGGTTGAGTAACTTTAGAGCGTGAAAGGTTGAGGAATAAATCTCACTTTAGAAACTGTACAGTTTTTACCTGACAAGAAAGGAGATAGTTGTTTAACATAGAGCGTTTTTTGAATTATTACATACGTTCAAAAAACTTTAATGAAGATTTTAATACTGAAAACATTGACTATAGTTTCAATTTTTCCATCTTGGTGGCAGGGGTGTGATGGATCGATTTTGCTGGACGACACAGTGAACTTCACAGGTGAGAAGACGGCGGGTGCGAATCTGAACTCTGTTAGAGGTTTTGATGTAATTGATGAAATTAAAGCAACCCTCAATACATATTGCAATGGCAATGTGGTCTCATGTGCTGATATCTTAGCAGTTGCAGCTCGTGACTCGGTTGAGATTGTAAGTGCTAAAAAAAGCCTTCGATGTTTAAATTGTCTAAAAAGGATTTTCCTAGCCATTTTATATTTTGCATGTTATGTTGTTAACTAATAACAAATGAGTGTTGCTAAACGAATTCTAAAATTAACTGAGTACACCATACTACCAAACTATTTATTGAATTACTAATTTATCATAATATAAAATGATAAATAAAATTAAGGTGTACTCAGTTAATTTTAATATTCTTTTAGCTTTTTTTCCCTTGATGTCCTCTGCCTAATGATTTCTTGCAAATTCAAGATATAATTAGAAAGAAAAGATGATTGTTGTTCAAAATTAATAGGATTATCTCCATCCTCAACCAAACCTCAAATAATTAATTGTGGAAATTTTAAAATGGTTGGTTTTTGACACGTCAAAAGTAGATTTTTTTATTGTCTCCTCTGCTTGATCTACATATATTTATTGTCTCCTCTGCTTGATCTACGTAGTACTGTAAATTCATACATCAATTCGCTACGTGAGTCCATCAATGGTGAGGCCCTACTGTCAACAACTGAATACAAAATGCGTTTTGGAGTACGAGTTTCCATCTTGGACCAAAAACAACCCAATATTTACATTGTTATTGCCTTAGCTAAAAGAAATTTGAGATTTTTCGCACAAAATATTGGCCGATTTGAATTTGTTTCTTTAAATTTCAAAGGAGAACTATCAAAGGAAATTTTTTGGGTTCTGGGTACTTACTGTTGGCCGTTGCAGATTGTCAAAGGCAGAGAGAGTGACGCTATTATTTCAGTGATACTAATTTACCCTAATATAAAATGGCCAAAAAGTATTAGGGTGTAGCTGGGGTATTTTGGTAGTTAATTAGGCCACCTCCAACGCAGACCCTTTTGCCAGGGCCCCTTTGCAGGGGTTTGGACCTCCAGCACGCGCCAAGCAGCCCGGGCAAGATCTGCCTGGGCTCAAGCCCGAAGGCGCTGACGTCATCAAGCAAAAAAAAATTTCAAAAAATTTGAAAAAAATTCAATTTAATTATAAAAAATTCAATTTAAAAAAAAAAAAAACCAAAAAATTATGGATGTTTTCCCTATAAATACATAACAATTTTATTCACTTTCCACACCAAATCCTCATACAAACTCTTCTCCTTCCAATATTTGTAAATTGTAATTTTTTTTTCTTGCATTTGTAAATTGTTTATATTTTCTTTCATATTTATTTTTTTCTTGCATAATCATTTTATTTCTTGCATTTCTAAATTGTTTATATTTTGTTGCATAAAATCTTTTTTTTTTCTTGCCCTTGCCCTAGCCTTTTGGAGTGGAACCAAAAAAGGCAAGGCTGTCACTATTCACGTGAATAATAGCAGCTCTTCCCTTGCCTTTGCCTTAGCCTTAGCCTTAGCCTTTTGGGGTGGACATGCTCTTAGGGTGTACTTAGTTAATTTTACATTTTGATTTAAATATTATGGTGTACTTAGATTATAGGGTGTACTAAGTTAATTTTAGGATTCGTTTAACAACACTCTAACAAATTAGCCTAATTAAAAATGGATAAATTAGTCCAACTCTTGTGCTGCTTGTGTTTAGCTGGGAGGCCCTTCCTATTCCTATGAAGTACAATTGGGTAGAAGAGATGCAACAACTGCAGTCTTGGATGATGCAAACAGAAATCTTCCTGCTCCAACTTTCGACTTCTCTCAGCTTCTCTCCATCTTTCAATCTCATGGTCTAGGCCTGCAAGATCTGATCCTCCTCTCAGGGGGCCACACCATTGGACTAGCTAGATGCACCACCTTCAGGGACAGGATTTACAATGACACCAATATAGACCCTGAGTTTGCAGCCTCCTTGAAAGAGGGTTGTCCTGTAAATGGTGGAGACGACAACACGACGCCAATAGACTCAACCACAACGCAGTTTGATACCGTGTACTTCAAGTCTTTGCTGCAGAAAAAAGGTCTCTTCCATTCTGATCAGGAGCTCTTTAAAAGTGATGGCAGTGATAGCGATAATCTGGTGCAGCATTACGCTAATAGCCCCGAGGATTTCAAAGTAGATTTTGGGGCTTCCATGATCAAGATGGGTAACATAAACCCCCTCACTGGATATGCTGGTGAGATAAGGCTCAATTGCAGGAAAATCAACTAGGACTAAAATATGTCCACTCAAAGTAACAGAGTAAAGCAACATTGGAGAGTTGTTATGTCCATTGTGTAAAACATTTAAAATCTAGTTTGAATAATTGCTGAACTCTTTTATTAATATATGCCTATGGTATTTAGTTATTAATCTAATTTTGGAGTGTATGAGTTAGCCAATGGCATACAAGATATAATGTCAGCCTGCATTTAAACGAAGACTGGCTAAAATAGATGCTCAAAAGTCAAATATGAACAGGTTATGCAGTTCTAGTTATGGCTGGCGGCCGGCGGTGAGGTGGAAGAGAAGGGGAGGAGAACTGGGTTGTGTTTATATTGCACACTCCACACAAGGCAAAAAAAAACATGGACATAAAACAAATGGATGAAGCAGTAAATGGAATACTAGGATAGTTGTTTGCTCACATCCAATAACTTAGGCTTTTAGAAATAGTGGTAAACAAAAACAAATTTGATCATACACAAGAAGTCAAAGCCCCAAACATTTTTATACAAAAACAAAGGAGGTCGGAACGAGTCCACATTCGATGGAGTGTAACATGGTACAAAATCAATTATATTATTTCCGGGATAGAGAATTAATGGACTTAGTAATCTCTTGACAACTAACATGTTCTGAATTAATCATCTATGACATCAGCTACACTAATATAATAGGATATTATAATTAATGATGGAAACATAGGAAGCCAACAGTGTTCTATCACCTCTATATATGAACACTCAGCCTCTTCAACTTGTTGCATGCAAATTAGCCAGAGTAGTTAGCTCAACTAACGTATATACCATGGCAGCAATTAATTGTCATCAATCTGTCTATGTTTTTGTCACTACTTTTTTTGTTGCAGCTGCTATTGTGTTGGTCCCAACTACATGCACTGCGCAACTCACTTCTGATTTCTATAAGCAGTCCTGCCCTCAGGCATTGCAGATCATCAGATCAGTAGTCCAGAGAGCTATTAACCGGGAGGCACGCATGGGAGCGTCGCTTCTACGCTTGCACTTCCATGACTGCTTTGTCAATGTAGGTTTCATTTTGTGGCTGTGTTCAATATCTTCTTTTTTTTGTTATTTCTTGCATACAAACAGAGCCATACTTTTCCTCAAGGTAGCGAAATACTGTCTGTTATCAGACTGTGAATCTAAAGCATTGATCATGTGAATACTTATTTGAATGAGTGTTACAAAACCAAACACTTTTAGAGTGTGTGTGGTCAAGTTTCACCTCTGTATGGACAAGGAAAAAAGATCACTTGAGATTTGGAAACTGTACAGTTTTTACCTAACAAAAAAGGAGATAGTTGTTTGACATTAATCATCTTGGATTATTTGTATTAATACTTATGTTTAAAAAATCGTGAGGATTTTTAATACTAAGACATATTGATTAGCTTGAATTTTTCCATCTTGGTGACAGGGGTGTGATGGATCAATTTTGCTCGACGATACAGATAGCTTCACTGGTGAGAAGACGGCTGGTCCAAATCTGAACTCGGTTAGAGGTTTTGATGTGGTTGATGACATTAAAGCAGCACTCAATAGAGATTGCTATGGCAATGTGGTATCATGTGCAGACATCTTAGCAGTTGCAGCTCGTGACTCGGTTGAGATTGTAAGTGTTAAAAGTCTTCAATGTCAAAACTGTCTGAAAGGCTTTTTAGCCATTTTATATTTGACATGTTATGTTGCTGGACTCTCAATTTGAACCGTGCATTTAACTAATAATACACTTGATCAATCATAGAATTTCATAGCCTGGCACCATAATAACAAATTAGCCTAGTTAAAAATGGATAAATTAGTCCAACTCTTGTGCTGCTTGTGTTTAGCTGGGAGGCCCTTCCTATTCCTATGAAGTACAATTGGGTAGAAGAGATGCAACAACTGCAGTCTTGGATGATGCAAACAGAAATCTTCCTGCTCCAACTTTCGACTTCTCTCAGCTTCTCTCCATCTTTCAATCTCATGGTCTAGGCCTGCAAGATCTGATCCTCCTCTCAGGGGGCCACACCATTGGACTAGCTAGGTGCACCACTTTCAGAGCCAGGATTTACAATGACACCAATATAGACTCAGAGTTTGCAGCCTCCTTGCAAAAAGGTTGTCCTGCAAATGGTGGAGACGACAACACTGCGCCAATAGACTCAACTACGACGCATTTTGATACCGTGTACTTCAAGTCTTTGCTGCAGAAAAAAGGTCTCTTCCATTCTGATCAGGAGCTCTTTAAAAGTGATGGCAGTGATAGCGATAATCTGGTGCAGCATTACGCTAATAGCCCCCAGGATTTCAAAGAAGATTTTGGGGCTTCCATGGTCAAGATGGGTAACATAAAGCCTCTCACTGGATCTGATGGTGAGATAAGGCTCAATTGCAGGAAAATCAACTAAGACTTAATATGTGTCTACTTGAAAACAGAGCAACATTGGAGAGTTGTTATGTCCACTGTGTTAAACATTCCAAAAATCTAGTTTGAATAATTGCTGAACCCTTTTATTAATATATGTCTATGGTATTTAGTTATTGATCCTAATTTTGGTGTGTATTTAATTAGCAAATGGCACTGTTTGTCAGCCTACATTTGAACAAACAAACAAAGACTGGCCACAATAGTTGCTCAAAATCTGAACAAGCTATGCAGTTCTAGTTTTGGTCTTGAAGGCTGATAACAGAACCCAGAAAAGAAAGGATGATAAACTTGAAGGCTAGTCAGCCTTTGAAATTTTCAAATGAACTGTTTCTAGCCATACCAATCAATCTGATTCAACAATTAATTCCATATTATAGATGTTCAACCATTAATTACATATTATAGATTATTTTCAAAGCCATTAATTACATATCAGAATTGGATATTTCTAAATGCTTTTTTGAAAATATTCAACTGCTACATTACATAACAAGGATTTGAGTTTGACTTTTTAAATTTAAATCTTTACTTAAAAAAAAAAAAAATCTTTTTCGGCCCTTTTATTTATTTATTTATTTATTATTATTATTATTTGTCATTTGGTTATTAGAACAATTAGAACAGAGGCTTTGACCTACATAAAATAAAAAAATAAAAAATAAATCATTACTTGATAAGTGTTTTTTCTTGTGACATATGTAAGTAATATGGATCCAACACCAACTTATGGGCATAAAGATTATAGATCCAGTTATTTTGTCATTCTAAACACAGAATTCTCTACTCTTAAATTCTCATAAAGTCAGTCTACTATATTATTTAGGTTTTTTTTTTCCCTTGAATTGTTTTCTGCATAAATAATAAATAGAACTGCAGAGATGTATTGTGCAGGCACAATAATCAAATTACTGGTGGAAGCAAAAAACATCAAAGAAAGCAACAAATGCAATGTGGTTTGTATCCATTTTTCGCAATCTTAGGCACTTATCCAAGCAAAGATTTTTCAACAGTGACAGTGAACATCTGCCATTTTGGTATAGATTTAAGCTAACATAATACACTTTTATCAGATTTTGGCCCTTTTCTGATCGAGATTTTGGGGATACAAGACTCAATTGCAGGATAGTAAGGCTGTGTTTGGTGAGCATAAAAAAAAAAAAGGCTGTCGTATGATTTTGTTTCAAACTTTTTTGCAATTCAGTTGTTCTCTGATTTTAAACAAAAAATTTATTTACAAATTTATTTGTGCACAAGGCCACATAATTCTGAACAAAGTAGCAATGTCTTTGTGCAAAATACTTGTATGAATAGCAGAGGTCAATAGTTTATGCTGTCTTCTGACTTACAGATATGAATTTGTAGTTCAGATCAGCTATCTTATTAAATAGTAGTTGTAATTCTACATTTCTGTTTTGAGATTGGCATACAACATAATTATATTTCACACCGATTCTAATCAAGGTAAGAACTAGGAAAAATTAAAATAAAGAGTTACTTCATCTCATATATCACTTGATTTGTACTGAACTAGATCAATTTCAACGCCTCGGATCAATTTGTCTTGCGACAGTTGGTACGAATTTGACCGCTGGTTCCTGTAAGCGGGCTAAGGTTCCCCATTTTCACCATGGCATTGGCAAAATCTGTATAAAAAGTTCCAGAGCTGGTGCTATAAGTGGTAACCAGAGAGTCTGTTGAACCACCACTGAAAAGTTGCTGATCAGAATGCAAGAGACCCTTGCTATCCACCAAGTTCTTGAAATAAGTGTTATCAAAGAAAACCGGGCTTGTAATATCCAGTGGAGAAAGGTTGTCATCAGTCCCAGAGCTCTGAGTACAGTTTGATTTCAAGAAGGTAGCAAATTCTGAATTGATGTTAGTCTCATTATATATTCTGTTTCGGAACATTCGACACCTGGCTTGACCCATTGTGTGAGATCCTAGTCGTACACATGAATGGTTTTCATTAGAGGAGACAGATTATGCAAGTAAGTGAATCAAATATAATTTCTTGGAAGTCAAGTAATTGAAATTTCAAGAAGTACCCAAATACTTTGTTGCTTTTTACATTATGTACTTACCAGAGAGAGCCACCAATTCTTCGGCACTAAATCCTTTAGTTGAGAAAGAAGAGATGAGGTCTTTAAGATCTAGACTTGGAGATGGGAGTTCAGTATTTGCATCACTTAAACTTGCTGTGGTTGAGTCTCTTCTGCCCAACTGAACTGTCCATGAAGGGCCACCAAACTGCGTAAACATAAATTAACATCATCTAACTATATAGCAATTACTTATTCCTTTCAACTTTCATGACTTCTACTCTTTCTTTTAGGCATAAAATGTGACTTACTGAAAGAACTGAATCGCGGGCTGCAATGGCAAGGATATCTGCACACGAAACAACACCGGGGCAGATACTTTCTAGCTGAGATTTTATAGTATCTATCACTTCGAATCCCCTCAATGATCCTACATTTGGTAAAGCTGTCTTTTCCCCAGTGAAATTTGAAGTGTCGTCTAATAATATAGATGCATCACATCCCTGTTGAAAACCATACGAAAAATTCATCAATACTAATAATGACCAAGAAGGATTTTGTTTGTGATTTTTGTTATACACAATAAATTAATCCTTTTGTAATTGTTCATATGCATGCAGGCAAAGCTTCCTAGTTTCTTTCTACAACAAGCATAT